TTCTCTCCCTCTCCCCTACCCCATCCTACCCTTCTGTTGTGCACATGCCAGACCTGGCTCTAACCTTAGCAGCAAGGGAGGCATAGGCCCTATGGGTGCCTGCCTGCCCCGCATGGGGCACAGTGAGGTGCAGATGGTGCTGTGTGCACGAGGGGCTCTGGGGCACTGCATCCTGCTGAGATGGGGAAAGCAGCAGTGTGAAGTGAAGGACCACTGTCGTGACCTCTCCCCCATGCAGTCCTGCCTGCATTGCTCACGGCTCCAGCCCTGCCCGCAGAGCCCAGGGCTGCCTGGCTGCCCACCAGAGAAGGAAGGGAGGGAGCAGACAGGTTGATGCGGAGGCTCCCTAGGGTGGCTTGGGGGTATTCTGGTAACTGCAGTAAGTGCAGCCACTGGGTAGGGAGTGAATCTCCATGTGGCAGTTAGACTCCGGGTGGCCGGGCACCATGCTCCGGCTTCCCAAGAGCCCAGCAATGGGCGAGCCCCCAAGAGCCCGCTGCTAGCACACAAGCCCAGTTGGGAGCCCCGCTCCTAGCATCTGTCTCTGGGTTGCTGTCCTGAGCACTGTACCCGCCCTTGGACTGTCATGGCTGTGATGTGGGGTCTGCTGGCTGCTGTGCCATGCTTCTTGGCATTGAAAGCCCTGTGGGGTGGGGGTGGAGGTGGAGGAAGGAGAGTAGAGGTTTGGTTTAATATAGCAATTCCAAATAGCAAGGGGAAACAGCAAGGTCGGGCTTGTGCTAGGAGAGGGGGGAGGGAGGAAAGACGGAGGAGGGAGGTGGAACGCAGAGTGATGTGGTGATGTCACTCTGTCGTCCTGCAGGAACAGGGTTTTTTCTATATATATATATATATAGAGGAAAAAACTTTCATGGAAGCAATAGCATCAGTCAATTAGGAAACAAATAGTAACTAATATATCAATCTGAGCAGACCAATTTCCTAGTAGTGTCCACATGTGACATGTTGTGGAAGTGGTGTATATAGACAAATCGTGCCAAAGGAATGAGGATTTCCTCTGGAAATGAGGTGCAGCAACACGAGTTTGCAGTACAATAAAAGAAAATATATTTTAAATACAGTTTTGGTGGTACCTCAAGCCAATTACATTACAAAATATAAATAGACCAAATTGGAATAAATATTAGAGAAATTGTGATGAAAGGGAGATTTATTCATATATGATGGACTTGTCTTGATACTTGAGACTATGGGAGTACAGTGGGTAACTATCATAACTTGTTGGATATTAGTTGCCAAATGGTCTTCCAAGTGGGAATGGTCTCAAACAAGAACATGAAGAATTAATCTCTCCTCTGCTAGTAGCTGCTTAGCTATGGGTAGCCTCTCATGGACAAAGAAAAATAGCTCAACTATTTCAGAATGATTCAAAAAATGAGAGCTTGTGGTTATGGAAAAATAACACACCAATTATGTACCCAATAAAAATAGGCTGGGGACAGGTAGATACTTAGCTATTTGGTTACCTATTTGTCAGTAATATGTACATTCACGTGCCCATTACCCTCCAAACAACACCACATCGCAATCCAGGTTTTTTTATATAAACATTTAATAGACATACCTGTATATAGACAAATTGCTCAATTTAATACATTTGAAATGCCATGGTTATTGTAATGATGCTATTAAATGGAAAAATCTGATGGCTATATTCCAGCATGGTTGGTTTTTGTAAAAGAAAACTCAATTCTTACAATGATTGTTTTGTTTCTGATGTTTACCTGGCAAGGATTTGTAAACTTGTTAAAACTCTCTAAATACATAGTTTAAAAAAAACCCAGCAATATTTTCAGATAGCCATGCAGGAGGGCAAGCTATAGAAAAAGATATAGTGTGTGTTTTGTTTTGTTTTTAACTGAAGAAGTACTTGCTTGGAAACTGAGAAAAGTGAGTCTCCAAAGCAGCCTTCCATTAATTGCAGAAGTGAAAATTAGAAGGGGCAGAGATTATCTGATATAAAAGCTTTCTGCTGCCAGGCTTTAATTTTTATAATCAGAACATCCAGTATATTCAGTCAAGATTATGTGTAGTCTTCTCTGGACTAGAATAGTTGCTTTTTTTTTTTTTAAGCTTTCTTAAATTAACAGTATGTGTGTTCAAATGCTATGCCTGTAATTAGAAAATATTTGTTGCTTTGGAGGTTAGATCAGCAGCATGTGTATTGTTGCCTGTGAAGGTAGTGTCCTTTATGCTAGAGAGGAGAGGAAAGGGGGGGGGGGGAAGTGGAGTGATTGCTGAAAAGCACTCAGAAGTGACTTGGATCAGCACCCATGTAGGTGAGAACGAGCAGTCAAGGGTTCTTACTGTAAAATTGAACTCTAAGCTTTTGGATGCTGGAGCATGGTGATCCATGACTATATCATCTGGAAAAGGAAACTCAGTAAATAGCTGAAATAGTACTGTAGACTTTCCATTCCTTACTCAGTGAAAATGGGTAATGTACAGTATATTATACTTACAAGTCTGACATGAGCAGAGGTAGGAGGTAAATATGAAATCACATAACTTGTCAGGGTCTCTTCCCTGCATGTAAAATAGATGGTTGAAGATTGGATTGCCTTTCATACAGATTTATCATTACACAAGTAGTTCCATCATCCATTTTTAATTTAATGGAAATACTAGTGATTTTGGTTCTAGTGGCAGGCTGCAATAACTTGTAGTTCATGATTGAATTGTGCCTTCCATTCAAATCCTTCCCACTCCTTTTTTCAGTTCCTCATAACTTCCTCATTTAGGGACCTCAGGTTAGTTGGTTGGTTGGTTGTTTTTTTTAAGATGAGGTTGAATCAGTTTATTTACTTGCATTACATAACCTTATGTCATACAACTATGTGCACTAAGTAATTTACTTGATTTTTATGATAAACTATTTGTGTATTTTGATAGTGCCTAAGAATCCCTCTAAAATCAGCCTTATTGTTCAAGACCTGTAACAAACGTATTTCATGCCCCGGAGTACTCACAATGTAGGTGAAGACCATGCGCAACATAAGCTCTTCAAACTAGAAGTATCGCTCTAGGATATTTTTTAGTGTGAAATGAGACTTAAATTTTTGAAGTTGAAATAATCTGTTAATGTAGACTTAATGATCTAAAATCTGCTACATTGCAAGTGTTTCTTTTTTTAAATTTTTGTCAACACATGTAAGGGTTTTTTCCTATTTCAAGTTAAAGAAATTAAATGTACAATCTTCAGATTGAAAATTAGTATTCAAAGAGGCAGATTTATTAAAGGCAGTTGTGGGTGGGACGGTTGAATTTTTGCGGTGTTTTGCATTTTAAGTTCCTAAAAATCTTTAGAAATCTGTGCTGAGGTTTCTACTGGAACTTTAGTTGGGTTGTGTTGCATATAATGTAGTATTCTAGTGCAGTTTTCCTTGTTGAAAGTAAATTGTAACACACTCTTTGTAATTTAATGCACCTTTAAGGCTGAGATTAATTTAATCTAAACTCTGAGCATCATTTGTACATATGTGAAGGAATGAGACTTAATTGTGGCTTGATATTAATGGGAGAACTATGTTGACTAAACTCTGAGGTTATCCTATATTTCCAAATAGGAATGCATTTTGACAGTAGAGCTGGGCTGATGTCGTTGGTTAGCTTTGGAATTGCCATGTGATTTGTTACATCTGGTGTTCACAGCATAACATTGTAGATTAAAAGCTATGGCATTACTGGTGTGTGGTGTGTGTGTGTGTGTGTGTGTGTTTGTTGTTGTTGTTAATTGTTGTTTTATTGGAATGTATTTTTTGGGATCATTGAGCTTCAAGAGTTCTGGAAGTTTCTAGCTTTTATTTAAATGCATTTCTCTATCATTAGAATTTCAGCTGTAAAACATTTCCACCCCATGGCTTATTTATTGCAAGAGCCTAATGTAGGCCAGATTTTTTTTAAAGAGTCAGAGCTGTTGTTTCCTGTCTTTCCAAGCAGGTAAAACACACTTAGGTTAAAAAGTAAAATACACAGTATATGAACTGAAGCTAAATTATATTTGAATATCTTCTCAATTCCCTGTTTTCCCATTTCTGTGGATAACAGGAACATCTAGATTTGTTACCTGTTTTAAAGAGTGGCCTGGAAGGAAGATATATCCTCAAACTTCATGGCTATTTGGGATGAGGTAGAAAGTCTGAGTAAAGTTAACCCATAATTGCCTATTGCAAGGTTTTAGAATGTTATTAAAGCTAATATTAAAAGCTTACATAACACATAGGCTAAGAAGAGTGTCAGTGCATCTTGATATATGCTTAAATTTTCCACAAATACAAAGTTTGTTTTAAGTCATAAGATACATATAATACATAACCAGCAATAACCGAAATGTAGGGAACTTAATTTTACAATGTAGTTTAGATATTGGCATTCAAATATTTGGGTACATCACTCATAAAAAGTTATACAGTGGATTGCAGAAAACAAATATATCCACGAATGAAGACTGTCCCTCAGTAATTGAGAATTTAAGGCAGGTTGTCCATTGGAAAAGAGGTCACCTACAAGTTCTTCTGAAGCATCTGGTGTTAGTCACTGTTGGAGAGAGGATACTCTAAGACCAGTAGGCCTGGTCTACACTAGACCTGGAAGGTTGGGTTAAGGTACACAACTCCAGCTTCATAAAATATGTTGCTGGAGTCAGTTTACCTTAAGCTGAGCTTGGTGCCATCTTCACAGATGAAGGTCTACACTTCCCTTACCTGTCATGACTGCGAGGAATACCGGCACCAACCAAAACTACTGTCAGTAGATGGTTTAGCGGGTTTTAACGAGTATGCCAGAAAATTGATCTGCATGGCTAGTGAAGACATGACCCTAGTCAGGTCAGCATAGTAATTCCTTGGATTCCAAACAGAAGGCTACAGAACATGGTGCTTCTATGGTTGGCTTTGTTTGCAGACAGTATTTTATACAACTTTGTTGATAAGGTCCTATAAATTTGTTTGTAATTTAAATATTTTTATGAGGACTTGAGATTCTAATTGCTGCTTAATTTTTCTTTTCCATACAGTTAACAAATATTTAAGCTCTGAAAATCCACTATTCTTTGAACTACGTGCCAGATATCTTATTGCCTGTGAACGCATCCCAGAGGCAATGGCTCTTATCAAATCTTGCATAAATCATCCAGAAATCAGTAAAGATTTGTATTTCCATCAAGCTTTTTTCACCTGTCTTTATATGTCTCCAGTAGAAGACCAGCTATTCCAGGAGGTACTGTGTCAGTGTACATTCTTATACCTCTGACAATTTATTATGCTCTTATCCTATATAGTTATGAGAAACATATACAATTTTTTATTTATAGTACAAATAAATGTTAGAACAGCAGGTGACTTGACCGTTATCCACTAAAATTTTTTTTCTGAGGACTAAAGTCTGCCCTCTATTCTGAATGTACAACTCCTAAAAACTTCACTGGTTGTTAACATTTACCCAAAGGCAGCATTTTCTCAAAGTATCCTCAGAATAACAGATTCAGAGTAGAATAGCTGTTATAAAACAGGGCTACTGTAGAGGTTAATTTTAGATTACTTTCAGTTCAATTCTTTGTGCCTTGTCCAGTTTCTTTTAAAAGGTGGGGGATTTTTTGTTTTTGCTGCAATGTGAAATGGCACTATATAGTTCAATATGTTTCTCCTTTTAATATTGATAGTACATGTACAAATTTGTGCATTTTATGTTTAGTTTGTCAAAATCAAGATAAGACTTTTAGGCTTCCAGAGCTGTATGCAACACAGTGCCTGGAAAGAATAGGTTTTATATATATAAACCTCTAAATCCTGTTGAAAACTTTACCTTAAATATCTGATAATGTCTAACAGATTTGTGTTAGATGACTATCTGTGGAAGAACATAAGTAATTGCCTCATAATCCCTATTGATAGCAATTCCTGGATATTTCAATGACTGCTTTAGCTTACCGAGGTCTGATCAATTTTGTGTATTAGCAGATTATCTAAACTGTTCTTATTTTAATTGCATAGCATTTACTGAGGACTGACTGCAAGAGTGGAATTGAGATCATCTGCAACACTGAAAAAGAAGGGAAGACTACCTTTGCCTTACAGCTGTGTGAATCGTTCCTGGTCCCACAGCTCCAAAATGGGGACATGTATTGTATCTGGTAAATACTTTTTCTGGTGAAGCAGCATAGAAAATAAAGGGTTATTGGCACAATGGGAATAAAGTGTTAACTTGAAGATGCAACTAAACTTTAAAACTGGAATTGTCACTCTTCTGACTTCTCTATTATGCATGCTATGCATATCTAGCCCCTCTGTGTAGTTATTCATGGGAGGCAGTCCTTGTATTGGGTGCAAAAAGTTGAAATGAATTATGAACCTAAAATTATTTTTTGGTGTCCAAACAAAGATAAAATGTCAACTTTACCAACAATTCATGATTACAAATGAATATTTTGGTCTGTTTGGTTTTTTAGATCTGTTTTTAAGAAATAAAATATTTGCTGGAATCAGCCCCTATGGCTCTTGTAAATTT